AAACCTCCCACATCCACCTGTCCAAACTAAACCTCCCCCACCACCCTGACCGGACCCCCACCCTGTCTAGGCACCACCAACAGCCACCAATTTGTCACAACCACCAATTCGTAAAATAACAACCACCAATTCGTAAAATAACAAATCGAATGACTTGTTTATTATTCATCAATAGGTAGACTATTTATACAAAACCTAAAATCATAAGATAGGAAACAATCTTCCTAAAATAAGATATATCGGTATAACCATAAACCTAAAGATATGTTCTCTAACTAATATCTTTAACATAAATAAAGATAAATATATTATTCTCCTAATAAGATCAATACGGAAAATATATCACGCATATATTTTCCAATATTGATGATATCATATCTCTAACACCCTCCAGCAATTGTAACGGCAGTAACACGAACGTTGTGATTGGAAATTCTTCAATTTGTTGAAGCCGAGATGCACACTCTTGTGATGTCGCCTTCAATTTTTTTTTCTTTTTTTTTAATGATGAAAACGTCCCGCTTTCGAATCCATCAATCATCAACCAAGCAGGAACATCATTCTTTCGAACCTGCAAAAATAACATTACAACAAGAACGTCTTTTCTTCTTGAACTCGTTGTATTTTGGTTTTTCCTGAGCAAAACCGAGCTCCAATCAAATATTGATTTTCAGAGCAAACCACACTCAAATCTCTTATTGGTTTTATTTTAGAGCAAAACCCACACTCATATCTAAAAAGCAAAATCATGCTTGAATCATATCACAAACCTTGTCTCATGACACAAGGAGAACCACACACATGGACCTTGTATCACGGCACAAGGAGAACCAATATATATTGTCTCATACAGAATTTATTTTATTGTTTTTTTTAAAAAAAAATTGTGCCAAACGTGGCTTTTCTTCATCTCCATGGAGATGTTGTACGGGAGAAGTTCATTCACATACTCCAAAAAAAATCACATGCCATCATATATGATGGATTAATCACGTATATCAACAAAAAAAAAAGTTGCACAGCGGAATTTTTGGGTAAAATTTATGTATCCCGCCGGTGAGTTTAATTTTCCAACCAATCGGCAGGGGAATTTTTTTTTGTGAACAGTCCCAAGACTTCACCTGCTTTTGATACCATGACAAATTACGGTGAAGAGAGAATAAATGTCTTGATTTATTATTGATCAATAGGTAGAGTATTTATACAATACCTAAGCTAATAAGTAACCATAAATATTAAGATATATTTTCTAAATAATATCTTAACATAAAATAAACCTAAATATATTATTTTCCTAATAAGATCAATACGAAAAATATATCACACATATATTTTCCGATACTAATGATGTCATATCTCTTTTAGACTCAAGGGACTATCTAAGGTCAAGGTGAATTCTACCTCAAAATTTGAAAGATTGTATTTGCAGGCAGAAAATACTCGCAAAGAATTGCAGAAGACGACTGAGCCTCCTCATTGATATCATATCTCTAACAATTTTACACCCTTTGTAAACCAAAAAATGTAAAAATTGAAAAATAGAGGATAATACTTTTCATAGAAAATGTTTTATGCCATATCAAACGGAGCCTAATGAAAAAATATTGTTAAATATGATGAGATTCATTAGAATTTTTTCTATTATATTTTTTACAATTACACTATTAAAGGATATTAATTGTCAAAGTTATACATTGGTAAACGTGCAAGTCAAAGTGAATAACGGATTAACGGGCTTAATGAAGTTAGTAGTAGTATAATTGATCGCATAAGAGTAAGAGACTTGGACTTGATACAATTAATTCAAATTTGACTAAAACGAAAGGAATGAAACTAGAGTGATCCATAAGAAATCTCACTCAATACAGTCAAAAGCTTTCTCCATATCCAATTGATCTAAAGAGCCACCCGTCTTGCTTATTCTTAAATCGACTAATTAGTAAAGAGATTTAATGTAGAATCTCATGAATGAACGAACCAACAAAATATTATCTTGAATAGCATGCATGGTTGGGGGCAAAAGCATTTTGACGAGGACCAATTATCTTCTAGAAAGGGCTTTAGATAAGCGACTAATTAAACAATTTCGAGTTTGCTTTATACATTGTTGTACAAAGACTAATTGGTTTATTTTGATGACTAGCTTTGGAAGGATGAGTGATTTTAGGAATTAACATAATAAAAGTATAATTGAGCTCTCTTAATAAAAATAAGTACCATTATAGAAGAAATCTTTAATGGCTTTACATATATCCCGTCCTATATTATTCCAATAATGCTGGAAAAACTTAGGCCCATAGCCATCAGAGCCAGAGGCCTTATAGAGGGACATATCAAAAAAGGCACCTTTAATTTTTTTCATCCGTAAAAGAACGAGTTAAATCAAGATTGTCTGTATGAGTAATGACTGGCTCGATTGTCGGGAAATCCTTGTTTGACTTATTAGAGAGTGACAAAGAAATTAAATTATTCTTTTTCCTTTTCACAAATCAAGAAAAGTATTCTAGTACTGTTAGTACTTTATTTTGGTGTACAAGTGACGAGCCTAACCTCGCCTCTACCTAGCGTCCAATGGACACCTTAAATATTATAGGATTGCTCAGCTCACTGTAAGATGAAATTACAAATTACCTCCAATTCTTATTATTTGCAACAAAGAAATATTTATGTCTTATAAATAATACTTTTTGTTGTAAATATTAATAACATAGTTAATAGTTATCTATCTAAAAGGACTAAAACTTGACAAGTTACCAAATTATTATATAAACGTGGTACATGAAAACTTCTAACATTTGACTTAATTCTTATTCAAATTCATGTAGCTAGGATATGATGGCTAAAATTTAAGTTGCTGTAATAGTAGCAGCTTATAATTATATAATAAGGCTTGGCGGCTTGCAACTCGCTTAACTTATTTGTTTTAAATTGTTTTCACAATAAACTCTAATGTTGATTGCTCTTTCCTACTCATATTCATCATATTAATATAATCATATTTGTGCGGTTATTTGACCACCTAACTATTTTTACGATTAAATAATATATTCCAGATCGAAAAGCAAATGCATATGCATCCTTAATTATTACATAAAAATATTCATAGCATAAATACTAAAAGTAATGTACAAGTATATAAATTTTATTTCTTTCCTTAGTTCTTCCCTAGAATAAATTAAACAAGCTTACAAGCCTAACGCTAGCAAAAAAAACCTATGATGACAAAGGTTAAACAAGGTGGTTGTTACGGCTGCTATGTTTCCTCATTAGGCTTAACCGCCACTGTCGTCGTCGCAGTCTTCCTCCTCCTACAACCCACAGCCACAAACGCTGTTGTCCCAAAAACACATCCACCAGTAAGAACAACGCCTAGTTATATGATACCTACGACTACCTTAGAAAAATTTACCATTTTCGCCCTCAAGGAAAAGCCTATCAATAATACTTCCTCTCGTAATAACACTATCCACTACCAAATAAGGCTTCATAACAGCATAGCGACCGTACCTTATTACTATGATACGTTGAACCTTACTTTCTATTATAAACCTAACAGTATTGACAAACAACGCATTGGAAATGCCACTTTTAAAGGCTTCTATCAATCGACGAGATCTAGTAAGGCACTCAAGGGAAATTTTGAGGCTAAAGGGGTAAGATGGGAAAATATTACTGCGTCGCCAGTAATATTTAGGGTGGAGTTAGTAACAATGACAAGGCACGATACAACTTATTTTACCAAGTCTAAATGGAGGCGATATGAGGTGGGAGCTAACTTCAAAGTCGATGATCAAGGTAATTTCATTGAGAAGAAGTATGGTTTGAGTACTGAACTAAGATCTAGAGTTGGGAGGAATTTTACGGGAAGTATCCAATTGATGGGCTTGTTTAGTTTGTTTTTATTTTATTTTTGGTGAACTAAATAGGTTAATGTGACGGGGTGTAACTTTTTACTCGAGTGTACAAAGGAATCTCTTTACCCCGCTCTAATTATTGGTGTGCCTTCACTTCAGCTTAGTTGTAAGTAAATATTTAGTGATTTTATTCATTAATAGATCGAACCAGATCAATTCATATCAGATCATATTTTATAATTTACTTATTAATTATCAATAATTCTGTAATTAATAAAATTAATTATGAAATTTTCATATATTGAAAGTGTGCAATAATGTATGAATCTATCTAATGTCATACATCTCATTCAACAATCAACACTTTGCTTAATCTTGAGGATTACTTGGTTTTCACTCTTTCGTAACAATTGCTACACTTTTCTTTTACAATCGTTTCAAAATATTTGCAAGGCTTTGTTATTTGGTATGGATCCACTACTATTTTATTTCTCGCTCCTACTAACCTCATTTACACCACTTTTTTTTATACAACTATTCATCTCTCTTACTAACAATTAAATACTGTATATCCTTACTATTTCTTCTCAACTCCTCGATCTCTCTTTAGGGTTTTATTATTATTAGTTGTTTAGGCTGTAAAATAATTAATTATGCCATTTAATAAAGATTTTTATCATGGAAATAATGCAGAATACTCGAGGCATTGCCCGGGATAAAAATGTGCAACTTGTAGAAATAAACAAATGTGTCTCACTATATGATATTTACAATTTTATATGGAGTAAGTAAGATATATGAAGTACATTTTATTTTATGAAATAAATAATCACATATTCTTTTTCGTCAAAAATTATACTCTCAGATCATACTAATAGTTGGATGTTCAAAATGTATGTACAATTATTAGAGTGTTTTATCTATACTCCGTATTTTATTTACTACGTATTAAATTAAAGTAGGTGTTCTAATATAAATTTAAGGATTTGAGAAAAAAATTCTAATAAAAAAACTCCATACATATGTAACATGTTGGTCTTGTTGGAAGCGTAAAGACTTTTAAAAAGTCACTAACTAAACTTTCTTCCTTTGTCTTTCTTTATTTCTAAGAATTCTTATAACATTAGCAAGATTGGTATCACCCTCTTTGTACGAAAGAATAAATATTTTATGTAACAAAAAAAGCAAAGTATATGACATTTTTATGCTTATTATATTTCATCTTACCAAAAATAGTTGAAGCAAACCTAGAGAGTAAAAACTTCTTCCCCTTCTCAAACTAGATAGATAGCCTAGCTAAAAACCAATGGCAGCCCAAAAAAAATTTAGTAAAGGTGGTGGTTGTTGTGGTGTAATTACCACCGTAGCCATAAGCGCTATCTTATTTTGGTTTCTCATAATTAGGACCTCAAAACCCGTTTGTTCCATCGAGGAATTTGACATTTTTTCCCTTACAAACAGTACCAATAATGTCATCCATCATAATAATACTAGCCACTACAACAACACTATCTCTTACGACCTAAAGCTTAATAATAAAAATCATAACAAGGGAATTTTCTATGATGCCGTTGATGTCACGTTTTATTACAAGTCTAAGAGTTATTCTATTAGAAATGACACTTTCCCGCCCTTCTACCAAGGTCGTCTTAAGAGTACTCATCGTTATGGGAAGTTTGATGTAAGAGGGGTAAAATGGGAAAATGAGACTGCACCGGTGATGTTTAAGGTGGAGTTAAAGACCGCGGTGAGGTTCAAGAACACAATTTGGAAGACACACCGTCATCAAGTGGTGGTAGAAGCTGACTTGAAAGTCAACAGTGAGGGTAGTTTGATCAAGGGGAAGGGCAATAAAGGAATTGTCCTTAGGTCAAAGGCTGAAAAGAATAAGGGTCGTTATGAGCTGGTGGGTATTTTGGGCATTTTGATTTTTATTATTTATTCTTGGTAATTTGGAATTTTGGATTTATCAGTCATATATTCATATTATAGATTTTCCCTCCCTTTTCTCATTTTGTTTGGCGGATAAGGAGCTACTAGAGGACGGGATCCAATTTCGGCCATCAGCTATCTTACTTAAATTTTTTAAAAACTAAATTTGTTGATATTCACTACACAATCACTTTTTTTTATTTCATAGTGTGATGATAGTAGATAGTGTATTTGCGTGTGTTTTTTTTTAATGTAAGAAAAATAATCATTATAATGTCCTCGATTGTGAGAGGATTAATTTAATTGTGGGTTATACTCTGTATGTCTAACCAATTTTATGAAATAATTTGATGAAATTGTTTACAGCAATTGAGCTTCTTGTATAGATTTTTTAGCTAATGTATGTGATGACCTAATATAAGTCATTTTTCGATAAATTCATGTTATTTCAATAATTCATTATTTATTGAAATTAGTAAATAAAATAACATACAAGTATATCCTAATAACATCACTTTCTTTCCATCCATTTTTCTTACTCATACAATGCTCTTTGCAGTTTCTCTTCAAACTTTCCAAGGTGATACGAGTCCGAATAGAAAAACTAATCAAACTCTTACTCCTGATTATTTTATTAAGGTTTTGACTCCCTTAGATTACTCCAAATCTAAGTAATCAAGCAATTATCATATCCTAATTCACTCCTAAATTATAATTAAAGGTTTTAATGTCACTCCTAATACCCAATGAAATTCACCAAGGAGTCATTTTATTGAATAAACTCTCTAATCTTTAACTAAGGTCAGGCGTCTTTTATTTATACTAGTAAATAGAAAAACCTAATTATATATATCCATTAAACTAACCCTAAACAAGCCCAACTTACCACCTGCACCATATAAAACCCACAACTTGAAAGGTAATGGTAAATTCGTGGGCTTATTAACTTTTACCATGATACGTTCGATAAAGGCAAGATTGCAACACGCGCTTTTTCATAAGCCAAGTAGGCAAGTAATACAACATAAAAATTCTTGCTTGGATGCAAATCAATGAAAGCCAAGGACATCAAGAACTAGAGTGATAATTTCTTGAAGGGTACCTTTGTTTACTTTCCACATCAAAAGGTTTTGTGACTACAACAACTATACCTATCATGTGCCTAGTAAAATTATTCTAGAATAATAGCATCGGTTATGTCATTTACATAATACTTCCTACGTTATTGTTATTTGATCCGCTTTGATTTTTATACTATTCACCACTTTCTCTTGACCGTCTTTTGTGAATTATTTGCTAGGAAATATATTTTTATGTAGAATCTTATTAGAGTCGTCTTAATAACTACTTCCTCCGTCCCTTAATACAAAGCCTTTTTTGGTTTTAGCGCGGGAATTAAGAAAGTTGTAAATTTTTTTAAATTAATGATTAAAAGTACATATGTGCATGTGGGGTTAGAGAGAGATAGAGATAAAGAAAAAGTAGTTGGGAATAATTGAAGAGATGGAGAGAAAGTGTTGGGAATTAATGTTCAAAGTACAAAAAAGTAAAGGAATAAAGATGACAACTCATCAAAAAAAAGGGTAATAATGTCAAAAAATACAACCTTTAAATAAAAAGAGGCATTGTATTTTGGTTTATCTAAAAAGGAAATGAGGCTTTGTATTAAAGGACGGGGGGGTATTATCATAATCATGTCAAATATGATAAATAAAACATGTCAATTAAAAAAAAAAAACCGGAGGAAATACAACTTAATGTACTATGTCATCTTGATGTTAGATTACCTTAGCATTTGGTCGTTCAAACTTGGGTAGTCGTGGCGGGTCCTAATCATGTGTAATAGTCAATATATATATATATATATATATATATATATATATATATATACGGGGAGGTTCCGCTAAAAACAGAGCTTATGGTGAAAACTAAAAACAAGCAATCTTAGCCATTCATTACTAGCACAAAAGATCAGACGGTTCTAAAGCCCTAAGATCATTCCAACCTTACATATAATCAATTCAACCGTTTTAAAGGTTTTTTTTTTTTTTTTTTTTTTTTGACAAACGCAACGTTTTAAAGGTCACTACATGCTAAAATAAAGTAACTTTATCTAAATTGACGATATTTACATAGAGTCACTATATATAAAAATAACGTAACTATATACAAAAATAGGGTAGCTATTTCAATTTTTACAATATTTACATTAAGGTCACTATATACAAAAATAGGGTAACTATTTCAATTTTGACCATATTTACATAGAGGTCACTATATACAAAAATAGGGTAACTATAACAATTTTTACAACATTTACATTAAGGTCACTATATACAAAAATAAAGTAACTATATCGTCTGAGTTTTTGACACCATTTACATAAAGGTCACTATATACAAAAATAAAGGTCACTATATATAAAAATAAGGTGACTGAAACAAAATTTACAACATTTCCATAATTCTAAGGTCATTATATCGAAAATAAGGTAACTATATATTAACTTCGGGTAATTATATCAATTTGACACCATTTACCTAGAGGTCGATAAATATAAAAATAAGTATTAAAAAAGTCTATGTAGGATTCGAACCTACATCCCGTGATTACACGGTGCTCGACCAATTGAGCTAATAGGCTTTCAACATACCAAAAACGTAGAGGCTTAAGACCAACACAGATTTTAGATTCATAAACATATTCACCGAAGTCAAGTACCTTTACAAATAAACTCCTCCCAGGTTCTCATGACACAGGCCCTAAGATTATAGGAGCTCCGGAGAAATATTGTCATCATGTATACTCAGATTACCTATGGCAGCCTTGAAACTCAACGAAGAAGGAAACACCTAAGCAGAACAACTTCAGATCAGCTAAACTAAATTTCAAAAGAACGAAAGCAACATACACAACATAATTAAATATCAAAGTAAGAGGTAAGATCAGGTGAAGCTCAACAACAGTAAGAAGATTATCTTGCGACAAAGTGGTGAGCTTAGTTTTATCCTCCATCAAAAGAACTATTTGTACACATGCCATATTCAAGACCAAGCTCAAAATTACTCTAAACTACCCCCTTCTTAAAAGACCTTTGGCAAACAGACAGTGCAACAGAAGTTGATGGATCAACACCGTTGTTGATGAGTGTCTATTGATTTACTGTCACTGCCAGTTTCATATCTTGCTTCTTCAACATTTGATACCACACATAAAATCCATAACAGCAGTAATTGTAGGCCTAGCGACAGAAAATGATATGGTGCTAAAGTAGTTCCAGGCTCACCTATCTAACTTCTACACAGTTGGTGCCTCAATATCAGTTAAATTGATGCTAAGAATAAAGATGTGAAACTTGCAGATAAACTCCATTTATGTGTTAGAAGCATTTCTAATGTTATCAAAGATAAAAGGAAGGTATTATTAGTATTAGCACCTCAGATCAAACTCAGATTCACGTCCAGGGGTGGTTTTCTCAATTACAAGTCTGTCTAATACTCCTCCCTTAGAAGATCCAGTAGCTGACACAGCCATAAGGAATCCCGGTGGTGGCACAATCCTTTACAAAAATAATGTTTATCCCCTGGGCATAAATCCAGAAAGATCATTCCAGTAATAACATAACACATTCTTTTAACAAACCACAGTCAACTGCTCCAATGAGTGAAGATAAACCAATCAAACATCCAAATAAATCAAACAATGAGGATTAAAAGGGGAAAAGGACATCCAAAGTTTGCATCACTAAAGCAACCAAGCGAAAAAAATCATAATTTTTATCTTCCAATTGGAATCAATGAACAAAAAGATTAGAGAGCATAAGTTCAGCAATAAGCATGTAACATGACTAACATCAGTATATTGCTTAATATTTTACCATATACTCCTAAAACACCATATGAAGCACTATATCGCTTTCTGCATAAAACTCCTTAAACCAATTTCATTTGTGAAGGCATCAAAATGCATCCCATGGTGAAGCTCCTTGTATCCTGCAACGCAGTCTTTATGCAGTTGTCTGCAATCACAAATGAAAACGGAAAAGGTCATTGTTAGCAAAATATTGATAAGGAAAATTCAGAACATGAAATTGAACAAAAATCACAAATGAAAACGAACAAAAACCAAGCAAAATCAAACAGGAAATCGAACAAAATTGAACAAAATCGAACAGGAAATCGTAAAATTAAACAAAATCGAACAAAATAGATAAAAAAAAAAAGTCGAAAAAATTGATGACCTAAGTCGCAAACTCGCAGTGGAAATCGAACAAAATTGATTAACAAAACACACAAAATCGCACAGAAATCGAACAAAATCGCAGAAAAAAAAATTGATAAAATTGCCAAATGATATCGAAAATTAAACATCTGAAATCTAATCAAATTATGAAAAAAGAATATTCAAATTTGATGAGAAAAAGTCGAAAAATCGCACTAGAAATCAAACAAAATTGATGAACAAAACACGCAAATCGCACAAGAAATCGAACAAACTCGCAGGAAAAAAATTTGATAAAATTGCCAAATAAAATCGAAAATTAAAAATCTGAAAATCGCATAAATCAAATCTCAAAAATCGCAAAAATTAAAATCGGAAAAATCAAATTGAAAAATCGCAAAATCTAGTTGAACATCATGCGTTTTTCATGAAAATTTGAACAAAATCGGAAAAAAAAAACGTACCTGATTTGAGCAATTTAGGTTGTTTATGCGAAATTTGAACAAAAATTCTTCAATTTCCAGCAATTTGTGTTCAATTTTGGGATTTGAGGAGAGAGAAAGACAAGAGGTTTGCAAGTTTGAGGAGAGAGAAAATTTTGGACGGTGGGTTGGGGGTTTTTGGGAGGATATGTGTTTTAATCTCAGCCGTGAGATTTGATGGGTCATAATCTACGGTCTTGATTGTCCGTTTTCATGTTTTTAGCTATAGGCTTGTTTTCACATGATCCACACTCTATATATATATATATATGCTAATTCGTACAATTATGGCCATGTGCAATTGGGATTTTTTCTCAAATTGAGCTTTATTGGGAAATTATTTACCAAATTGGTCTCGTGGCAAAAGTATTTCCTAAACAAAGCTTTTGGGGTGAAACGCTGTCTCGGACAGCGTTTTACACCCAGTTTTTTTAAAAAAAAAAATTCAAGAAGTAAAACGCTGCCTCAGACAGTGTTTTATGGTGTTGACCTATAGGTATGTATTTTGGCAAAATATACTAGTATATTTTGCCAAATTATACTGGAATATGTATATGGGCTTTAAAACGCTGCTTGAGGAAACGTTTAATGTTAAAGCATAAATCGCTGCCTCTGCTTGACTGCATCACCAGCAGCCAGTTGCTGCTTCTGTCCATCTGCTGCTGC